GAATGGTCGACTTCATTGATCTCACAGTGGAGAAATAAACTCGTTAAATCCGCTCAATAGTCGATGGAAAAGGTGCATGGGAGTCTATACATTATATATCTATTAGATATTATGCACTAAAAATTATATAATGCCTAATTTAAAGCTAAAATATCTGATTCTATTGGCAGTTTGTCTCTTATTTGCTCAAATCAAGTGAAAATACACCTATTTTAGGAAGAATGAATCAATAAAAACCAATCCACTGGACTTTGTTTCCCATACCTGTCTATGTCTCTGAAAGGAGGGTCGTTAGAAGGAATAGTTGGTCTGACCTTGTCTGTTCAGCCAGGCCAACTATTCCCTTTAACTGTCAGGAATCCAGTTTGTGTGGTCTGTTTTTGTGTTTCCTTTCCTCCTCCACCAGGTGGTGCCCCGTCTTCATTGGGTCTCCCTGCACACCTGCAGCTCATTGCCTCATTACCTGTGGAGCGTTATTAAGCTGCTGACTGCCACTACCTTCGAGGCCAGAGTGTTTGCCAATACAGGGAAGTCATCCTGCAAACTGGATTTGTTCGGACCTTCTCTTTCTAGAAGGTTCAACTGAGCTTCTAACTGAGCTGGGGTTCCAAACAGGAAGTTTGGATCAACTTTCCACAAGAGGTCGTTTGAGCTTCACACCGAGCAAGGGTTTCATCTGCACCGCAGCCTGTTCAAGTACCGCAGGAAATCTGAGTGGCAGTCAGTTTCTCCGTTCATCTAGGAACAACTGAAGTCTGAGTAAACCCCGTCCGCCCAACACCAAACAAGACAATCTCTGGAACCTTCTCTCACAGACTGGATTCCATAAAGGACACCTTTAACATAGACAGGTATGGGGCATTGCAGGCTAACAAAGAAGCCAAACGACCCCCATTCCAAAGGGGTGGACCCGTTCATCCGTTTCTATTTGCAGGTTTTCTAAACTAAAACCAGGCTTTGTTGGGCTGCTGGATAAAACCTGGAACTAAACGCTATTTCTGACATTTTGGATTGAAAAATCTTCCTGGATGGAAGAGAAACGTCTTTAAACTTGGAAACAAAGTCCGGAAGATTGTTTTTTTTACTTTTTTTTGGAATAACTATGACCTGGATGACTGAGAATCTTCACCGGCAAATTTGGAATATAACTTTAGTTTAGGGATGCAACTAATGATTATTTTGCAAATCGATTTTATATGAACTGAAACCAGGTGAAACTCAAACGTTTCCTCTTGAGGAGTTCTGGATAGAGCAGACTGACAGATGGAAAGTTTTTTATCTGAAATGCAAAATCTTTCCAGCTTTTTTTTTTTTTTTTTTGGTATTACATCGTCATAACTACAGCGCAACGAAATCAACTCCGCATTCAACCATCCCGTGGAGGAGCATTATAGTCAGAACCATCCAGAACCAGGATCCAGGATGGATCCACGCTGTGGGAACTTCAGTGTTTAGCAGGTTTTCTGAGCTGTGAATGGATTCAGTTTAATGTTTCACTTCATTTTCACAGAGTTCAGCGTGTCTGCAGAGCGAGGGGTCGGTGGTGGAGGTGTTGTCAGACGTTATGTAACCGTGGGTGGAGGTGGCGGTTGGGGGCTCAGCAGGTTCAGGAAGACCTTTTTCAGCAACAGATGGAGGAAACTCGCACACAGAGAGGCTGCGACGCCAGGAAAATCAATTGATTATCTGCTGCAGGAAACGGGTCGCAGAGAGAGGAACCCGAGGCCGCCTAACAGGAGACAGAACCTCAGCACGCAGAACCAGAACCACAGAGGAGAGGATGGAAACTTAAAGGACAGGGGAGCAAAAACCAGAAAGAAAATAAGATCAGAGACATAAGGAAAGGAAAAAATGAGCAGGAAGTGGAAATAAAATGAATAAAAAAGGAACAATGGTTATAAAAGAGGAAAAGGAAACTGGAAGCAAAGAGGAAGTAGGTTTAGAGAGACTCCTTCAGATTAATAAAGTCGGCCATGACGCCCACCGCCATCCTGCAGACTCTAACATCGTTACCTGGCGCTCCGTCATTAGCGCTGAGCTCGCTAACTCAGTTAGAGGCAGAGGCTCCGCCTCATTTCCAACCGGCGGAGGACAATTTAGCTTCAGCAGCAGAGGACGGCTCCTCTGGGACCAGCGGCTCACAGGCGGCTAATAAACCCGACTGAGAGCGGAACCAGAGGAGGAGCGGCCCGCCGAGACCTGAGCCTCCAGCAGAACCCTTAGAACCGCAGACCTCTGGTCCTCAGATAAAATGGCTGCAGGTTTCTAAAAACAGCACATTGAGGGATAATAAAGTGATTTTTTATTCTATTCTATTCTAAATCCTATCCTATCACACCAATGGGGGGAATTTTGTTCCATTATTCTTGCAACGAACTGGTTTGGAAAATAATCTTTGAATAGAAAATATAATCCGGAGATGAGAAACTTCTTAGTTATTATTTTGTTTTTTTAAGTTTTACTTTTTTGTTTGTTGGTTTTTTATCACATTTTCTTTACTTCTGTGGGAGGGTTTTTCTAAAGACACAGAAAGTAAACCAGTTTCTATTGGTCTGCTTGATGTTAGCAACAACAATGTTATTGTTTGTGTTGTTCTTAAAATGAAGGAAATGTCATTAAGAAAACGCAGTTTGAAAAAAATGCAATTCTTAGAACTTCATCTAAATATAATTGAAAAAAATCTGTTGACAAAATATGAAAAAAAAATATGAAATTAGACAAAAAATGCATTTAGGAAAAAGAAATTATTTAAAATCTTAAAAGTAGATTTAAAACGTTTAAAGATTAAAATCTTTAAACGTTTTTTAAGAGCAAGAAGTTTTTAAAGGATTAATTTACATACCAAGTTCTTATAATAAAAATAAATAAATCAATAACTGAAGTTTATTGATCTCACATTGATAAAGCTTCTAGTTAGAGTGGCTCAGGTTATCCTGA